TTTTCCACTTCATTTCGAGGATCGCCGTCCTGTTTGAGTTTATTTGTTGTCTTGAACTATCTTTGAAGAGACTCCTTCGGGCCTCGGGCCCTTTTGTCTTAAATATATTGAAATTGAACCCTGATAGCATCCACTTTCCGTGGCCAGGGAAGCCATGGCTTCGCACCAGGCAAGCCTCACCATTTTTAGGCTGTGTTGTGTTTCGTAATCTGAATGATTGACGGCATTTAGACCGCCCAACCCGGCGAGTCTTACTGACTTAACTTCGAATTTGAGTCAGTAAGACTCGGCGGGTTGGGCGGTCTAAATGCCGTCGATCATTCAGATTACGAAACGCAGCGTAGCCTGAAAATGTGTAGGCCAGCGTGGTGCGAAGCCTCGAAAAGTGGATACTATCAGGTAACATGCCGGCAACGACCTCCCCAAGTTGCTGCCGTCACTGACCGTTGGAAACGGTGTCAATGTCGCCCCCCTCAGCTAATAACTAGTGCCCCCTGTTGTTCAACATGCTTTTTTGGCTGTGGTTGTTCCGTATTTGCTTGGCTATGCTATTAGCTCCTAAATGGCTTATGTGGTATTCGTGGATGAGAAGTATACTCTACCGATATCCGACAGAATGTACTAGCTGATCTAAGGCTCAACTAACATTATGCTACAGTGACATCCAGAAACAGAAGAAAATTGGCCTCCCTAGTAGCAAAGCCTAACAACTACAGCAAGCTACCCAGCGTTAAACAGAAGGATGTATTTTGGTTGACTGAGGCGGCAGCCCCCTTCTGGTTCTACCGGCCCGTGACGACAGCAACTTTGGAACAACCACTACCAGCTAATTGCGCCTAATAAGTCCCGTAAAACCGATAAAAAACAATAGAATTCCCTTAAAACTCACAGAGCCCTTTGCAAAAAAATTCAACATAGAAGAAAAAATGCATCCACCTTTTTTTGTGCTACTGCTATTTCGTGAATGAAGAAATTGTAATTGGACTAACAAAAGTCAAGAGGCACCTATTACGCTGAGACTCAAATAATGTCCCAAAACCAAAAGTCTTATATCCGTTCTACAAAAGATCCCATTCCCCAACCCTGGGTATGTGTGTTTACTTTGCGCCACCCCATTCTTCGAACGACCATAGCTGCGAATGATTGAAAGCATGCTCTGCTTAGCTTACTACCCAGGAATTTACCACGGTTACCACCTATAAATCTCACTCGATCCGCCTCGACGGTTTTTGTGGTGTTCTCTGGTCAGGTACGCATATAAGTCTTGTCCAGCACGGTTTCCATACAAAGTCATCAAAGGTGTGGCCTATTGCCTTCAACTATATACCAATGAACTTCCTCATTTTACTGGAGCTCCTGAGCAGGGAGCAAGATAATAAAAAAATATTTACTCTGTTTTTACTAGACCATTGTTGGTTTAGTGAAAAAAATTTGATATAGGATATCCGGAAGCATCATAAACTAAATTAAAAGCTCTCTTGAGCATAGGGCCCACCGGCATCTGAATTATCGGCGCCTAAATGTAGTCGTTATGGATCTGTGAAATGGTTATTGCCCCATTTTTAATTGTATTGCTGACATATCAGAAGGTTTTTTTCAGACGGAACTAACATTTTAGGCAAGAAACAGAAGCATGATTCCATCCAAAAAGATCTTGCTCGAGTTTCTGACTAGGTGACCCTGGAAGTGGACTTGCAAAAATTCAAGTTCCCCTCCAGTAACCGTGCTTAAGAATTTGAAATGTGACTGCACACAGTCTGCTACCGACCTTGGAGTAGTAATGTCCATTAGTTTAGTGCCATCGTAAAAAAAATATAACAAATTGCTTAAGCTCGAAATCAACCTCTCCTTCTTGGTAGCCGTATCTGCTTTATTCTAAATTTGTCCGGCCACAATTATCAGCCTGCTTACGGCCTCATTCTGCGTGCTTCACACGGCCCACTGATGCTTTTAGAGGAAGCCCAAAGGGGAGCAGCGACTAAGCAAGTATAAATTTCTACGTCTTAATGTGCTATGGAAAGTGATTATTTCAGAAGTTATGTGAACTTGTTATTCATCTCCGAGTCAGTAGATGATATACGCTGCTGCAAGATTGCGCTTTTTTTTATCTGTCTTTCGAAGAAGTTAGACGGAAGCACTGACACTGAGACCCCTAACTTCGTCTCATTGGTCGTTGTTTTCGCACCCTCTCATTGTTTGATGTTGCCTTGCAATTGTTTCAGTTGCCAAATCGCTTAATTTATTTCTCGAAGATTTTGCAGGTCACTAGCTTTCCTTCTTCTTCACTAGAATGCCAACTTACGATTCTGTAGTTCTGGGCGAGAAGACGCCCATAGTATTTGATTTCGGTTCCGCGTGTATCAAGTAAGTTTCTCACCTTCCCGTCGCTCATTTCAACCAGATGTGGTTTTGCAGGAGAGGCTAGCCCTCGTTTTATTCTTCC